CTCTATATATATATGTGTGTGTCTACTATATATATATATATATATATATATATTAATATATATATTTATATATATATATATATATATATAATTATATGTATATATGTATGTATATATATATGTATGTGTATATTATATACCCCAATCAGCACTCTGCCCGTCCACGCCTGCACCTACCACTGGCCATAGTTGCATGTACTTCGTTTCAGTTTCTAACACTATTCTCCTTCACAGCGTCTCAGCATTAATTGCAATGGATAGTTCCCATAAACTAGTTAGCTTCCGTTCGAGTCGTACCCCGCCGTTCATACACAACCCAACTAACCTCTGACTAAGGCTAATATGTCTTAACATCTTCTTTCTCACTGCTTCTTATCCCCGTATAGTCTATATCAACCCAACAGACATAGGCCAGCATATGCCCCCTCACCTCGCATGCTTTGCTTACATCGCACGTCTCTCCACTCAGCTCGTCGGGTGCATGGCCTATGACTGTGTGATGAACGAGTGGGTGTGGGTGGTAACGTGTCTCGAGTGCGGAGATGACCTTCACAAGGTTAAGAATGTTGTAAGGGGTTGTCCAACACGCTTACGGTGCAGACAGTGCCACACAGCCATGGTATTGACCGTTGAGGGAGTCAAGGTGGGCCGGACTGTTGCTGGGGCTAAGCATGCGTCTCTGCTAGAGGGTGTGACAGCCAAAGAAAAGAGGTATATTTATCGCGTGTTGTTTTTGTGTATATTTCTAATTGATCTTATGTATGTATGTATGTTTTTATGTATGTATGTTTGTTTGTTTGTATGTATGTATGCATGTATGTATGTATGTATGTATGTATGATTGTATGTATGTATGTATGTATGTATATTTGTATGTATGTATGTATGTATGTGTGTATGTTTGTTTGTATGTATATATGTATGTATGTATGTATGTATGTGAGGCCACATCATACGTTCTTTGGGCCATTATAACAGCCCAGAAGAAGTAGTAATCATTTGGTACGCGAATGTTTGTATTTATCGCACATACTCATACACGTGAGTGTATCAGTGCAAAGAACTGAGTATTTACTTATGATTTTGAATGTCGAGAAGTGAATAGAGCAACCCGTGTGTATACACTATACTATGTGTGTATAAACATTTACCAGCATATGTGTACGTGTGGTACATACACTATACTATGTGCGTAAAACCGTTTACAAGCATATGTACGGATGATACATACACTATACTATGTGCGTATAAACGTTTACAAGCATGTGTACGGATGGTACATCCATCATGCTATGTGCGTATAAACGTTTAGAAGCAAATGTCTGAGTGTACTCACCAATCTGGGAAGAGTACCATATAACTTAACCAAGGCCAAGCCATGCAGGCTTATTAGAAGTGGTTTAAAAGAGCTATGATAACAAGATAGTACCCCAGACGCGCCTCAATACACCGCTCTGCACAGAGATGTGGCGGCAGGAATAGTATGTACGAGCGCAATGTTTCTTGTTTGAGGGAGCATTGTTTATTGTTTGAGGACCCAGAGTGTGTTTAAGAGATACGTTTGATGGTCGACCTTAGAGTGAGGTGTTGGCTTAAGGTGTGGCTAGAGGGGCAGATGGCATGCCCGCAAAAGCAGCGCATGTGGTGATGCTTCAGCCCTCGATTCTGTTAAGAATGGTGACAGATACAACCTAATTATGTATATATACAGAATCCTGTTAATAATGGTATCAAATACAACCCAATTATGTATATATGCAGAATTCTGTTAATAATGGTATCAAATACAACCCAATTATGTATATATGCAGAATTCTGTCAACAATGGTAACAGATACAACCCAATTATATATATAAACAGAATTCTGTTAATAATGGTAACAGATACAACCCAATTATATATATAAACAGAATTCTGTTAATAAAGGTAACAGATACAACCCAATTATGTATATATACCGAATTCTGTTAATAAAGGTAACAAATACAACCCAATTATGTATATATGCTAAATTCTATTAATAATGGTAACAGATACAACCCAATTATGTATATATACAGAATTCTGTTAATAAAGGTAACAAATACAACCCAATTATGTATATATGCAGAATTCTGTTAATAATGGTAACAAATACAACCCAATTATGTTTATATGCACAGTACTCTCAATTATGGTAACAAATACGACCCAATCATCTCTATATACACAGTTAGTTCTACTAATAATGGTACTAAATACGATCCAATGATCTGTATATGCACAGTTTTACTAATAATGATATTAAATACGACCCAATGATCTGTATATGTACAGTTCTACTAATAATGGTACTAAATACGACCCAATGATCTGTACATGCACAGTTCTACTAATAATGGTACTAAATACGACCCAATGATCTGTATATGCACAGTTCTGCTGACAAAGGGAAAGGTGCCGTGCCTCTGGTAGTGGGAGAGCCCTTACCGAAGATGGGCACGTGTAAACACTACTCCAAATCCAACCGATGGCTGCGATTCGCATGTTGTGGGAAGGTAGGTGGTGTCTCCAGACGCACTCCTGGGGGCATTTCAACGTACGTCAATGGCAATTAAATGGGTCTATTCGTGTACGGAAGGGTTGATAAACATTTGCAATGGGATGATGGATCGGATTATGTGTGTGATATCAGAGGCTTGCAAGACTACAGTAGCACATTCTTTGCTTAAAAGGTTGCACGAATTCCAGTAGTGAATATGTACTTCATTTGTTAATACGTTTAGTGAATATATACTTCATTACGAAGTCCTGTGGTGAATATGTACTTCGCTTGTTAATACGTGTTGACAATTTACGTTAGTTATATGGTTCAAACTCCTTCCTAATTTTTATTTTGAATGCAACACGTGAGAGTTTATGTTCAGAGCATATACCACAACGGCCAGTCGATGACATGTACGTGTGCAAAGATATTCCCTGAGAGTGGAGAGTTATTGTATATGTGCCTGTGGTTTGAACCCCACAGTACAATCCTGGATATTGTTAGGTGCAAGTGTTTGTGCAAGCTCGAGCCTGAGCATTCACATGTGTGTATATGGGTTTGGAAATGTACTGGAGGGCGAGTGTTCGCGCACTCGTGAGTAGCCACACATTGCATTACCAAACGAGCATTTCCATTGATTAGTATATATATATGTATATATATTTATAGTACTTGTATAGATTTTTAGTATATATATATGTATATATATATATATATATGTATGTATGTATATGTATACACACATATATATATATATATATATATATATATATATATAGTACTTGTATAGATTTTTCATTCCTGCATTGTACCCATCTATCTATTCCCAATAAAAACATTGCTGTCTCAATATACACACC